AAGAGATGATATCGAAAAGAAATTTTCTTCCTTTCTTCCCCCTGCCCTTCTTTATTTTGCGCTGGGCATTGAACCTAGGGGTGCTTTATCCCTGAGCTAAATCCCCATCCTTTTTGTTTATTATTTGAAGACAGGGTCTCACTTTCTTGCCCAGTCTGTCTTCAAACTTGCAATCCTCCTGTCTCAGCCTCCTGAGTCACTGGGATTGTAGGGGTGTGCCACCATGCTTGGCTGCAAACACATTTTCTTTAGGATAGTGCGTCTACAGCATGTTACCTGGTAGCCAGAGACTGCTGGGAAATGGACGGGCTCTCATCTCCTCTGGGAGCAGCCCTCCATCAATGGGATTGGTGGATAAATGCCCAGGCTCCTGGCCCCACAGTTGAGAGGACTCACATGTGCTTTTGGCAGGATAAAGCATTTTGCTTTGTTTAATTCAGTATCAGGCTAGATATACTTGCACCGTCTGCACCTGCGCAGTGGTTTTGTCTCCTTGTGCTGTGTGTATGTATATGAAGTGGGGGTTGGGGGCAAAGAAATAGAATCTGGTTTAGACAAATATATGAAGAAATGCTCAACATCTCTAGCAATTAGAGAAATGTAAACCAAAACTACTATAAGATTCCATCTCACTCTAGTCAGAATGGCAATTATCAAGAATATGAGTAACAATACATGTTGGTGAGGATGTGGGGAGAAAGGTTCACTCATACATTGCTGGTGGAATTGCAAATTGGTGCAAGGAGTCTGGAAATCAGTATGGAGATTCCTCAGAAAACTTGGAATGGAACCACCATTTAACCCAGTTATCCCACTCCTCGGCATATACCCAAAGGACTTAAAATCGGCATACTATAGTGATGCAGCCACATCCATGTTTATAGCAGCTCAATTCACAATAGCTAAACTATTGTACCAGCCTAGGTGCCCTTCAACAGATGAATGGATACAGAAAATGTGGTACATATACCCAATGGAATATTACTCGGCCATAAAGAAGAATGTAATTATGGCATTTCCTGGTAAATGGATAGAACTGGAGACTGTTATACAAAGTAAAATAAGCCAGTCCCCAAAAACCAAAGGACAAATGTTCTCTCTGATATACAGATGCTAACTCACAATAAGTGAAGGTGAGGAAGGAAGAATAGAGGTCCATTGGATTAGACAAAGGGGAATGAAGGGTAGGGAGTGGGGATGGGAATAGGAAAGATAGTAGAATGAATTGGGCAGAACTTTCCTATTCATATATGAATACACGACCAGTGAAATTCCACATCATGCACAACCACAAGATTGGGAAGTGATCCTCCATGTATGTATGATAGGTCAAAACACACTCTACTGTCATGTATAGCTAAACAGAACAAATTAAAAAAAAAAAAAAGAATCTGGCTGGTATCTGAGCTCCCTCTGAATGCCCACAGAGGACACCTGAGCATCTGAACCCAAAGGAGGAATTTTGTCTTTTCCTTTAATTAGAAGCCCCTTCCTGGCTGTCCCCCTCTGACGGAGCTTTCCTAGATGCCCTGTAAAGACAGAGATGTGTCCTGGGTCACCTCTGCTTCCCATGCTCACTTAGTACCCCTCCCCTCTCCTCTTGCCCCTTCTGTGTGCTACCAAATGCATCATGACCTGGAGCTAGCATGGCTGCAAACCCACCCCAGGAGCCCCAGAGTGGCTGAAGGCCTTTCTGTCTTTTTCTATCTCAATAGGGTCTTGCCTGAAGTTTCTCCTTGGGGACATGTCGATCAATTGCAATAAGAAAGTAATAGTCCCTGTCCCTTTGCCCTGCCCCCCCCCACCCCGTTTTTTTTTCTTGGAGTAAGTTTTGACTTCAGAGGTCTCTGACCCCTGCTGAGCAGGTGGAAGGGAGTTGTCCTTTGTCCTCTGGGTTGTCTGATGAGTTTCTTTGCTAACATTCCAGTTGGGAAAAGTAGTTGATTCCACAGGTGGAGAAGGTGTTCCTTGGTGAGATCCTGGTGCCAGAGTGAGGTAGATGGAAGAAAGAGGGGGAAGAAGAGGAAGAGGAGAAAAGGAGACAAAAGAAGGACAAGGGAATGTAATTTTAGTTTACGGTTCGGTATATCATTCTAGGATGGTCACCCTCAAATTTCTGGGAAATCTGTAAATCTTTTTTTTTTTTTTTTGGTACTGGGAATTGAACCCAGAGACACTTAACCACTGAGCCACATCCCCAGCCCTTTTTATTTTTTATTTTGAGAACAGGTCTTGCTAAGTTGCTAATTGCTGAGGCTGGCTTTGAATTCACGATCCTCCTGCCTCAGCCTTCTGAGCTGCTGGGATTCCAGGTGTGTGCCACCATGCCTGGCTGTAAATCTTAAAGTGACTGCAAATTTACTCGTTTATGATAATAAACGATGCAATAAATAGATCTAAGCAAAGAGAGCTACAATATTATAAGACATCTATAACTTAGGGATTTTCCAATATCATTTGCTGATCAGATAATGAAGACCTTATCTGCCTAAGATGATCATAAGACCCTAAGATGATCACCAGACTGACGCCATCCCCACATACCTTCCCATTCCTATCCCTCACAAAGTTTCCTTTAAAAGAAGAGCCAGAGAGCCAGGCGCAGTGGTGTAAGCTACTGTAATCCCAGCCTCTTGGGAGGCTGAGGCAGGAGGATCGCAACTTCAAAGCCAGCCTCAGCAACTTAGTGAGGCCCTAAGTAACTCAGCGAGACCCTGTCTCTAAATAAAATATCAAAAAGGGCTGGGGATGGGGCTCAGTGGTTAAGCACCCCTGGGTTCAATCCCTGGCATCATAAAATAAACAAACAAAAACACACAAAAGAAGAGCCCAAGAACCCCCTAAACTTTTCTTACTCTCAAGATGGCCCACATTGTCCCTTGAAAGTGTATTCCTTGCTTTACCTCAAATCATCTCTCTCTTGAGATAGCTTGTATTCTTCCTTCAATATGTGTATGCTTTCTTAAATTAATCTCCATCTGTGTCTCTCACTGATGTGTCCTGAAATTCTTTTCTGTCATTTACACCAAGGACCCCACTTGTCCTGAGTCAAGCATGCACCATCTCTGGGAACTCCTCAGACCATCTTCCATGGACAAGAACAACAGGTCTATGGATCTGGAGAGGGTTGAAGGTAACATGGGCCCAATAAGCTTGAACAAGGACAAGAGTTTTAGATGCAGACAGGCTCACTTTTATACCATGTTTCAGCTTTCAGCCTGCTGTAAATGTGAGTGGGGGCTTCATTAGGCCAAGGTTTGGAGTGAAGGTACAAGGACAGATCCAATACTGGTGGTCACAAAGAAAGTGCTGTCCACCATTCCCATCGAAGCAAGCTGAGCTCACCGTGGGGATACGGGCTTCATTTGGGAGGCTAAGGCAGGAGGATGTCCTTCACCACATCCCAACCTCATCCCCATCACTGTTTCTTTTCCAGCAGAGGTTAGACCCATTCAGCCACATTTGGGTTTTTAAGGCCCCAATGGAAGACACCAAAAATTCCCCTGGCCACAGTGGCCTTGGATGTCTCAATTCACACCCAGGGCCCTTGCTGTGGGAGGGGAACTAACTGCAGCCTTCGTCTCATCTGTTTGCAAGGCCAGCCAGCCAGAAGTTGGCAGGTTGTCATGGATACCTGGGAGCTTGGTCCTAGCAGAGAGCAGAGGGTTCTAGCCCTCTGCAGACCTGGTGGATCTTCTGGGACCTCAGGAACGTAGAGCAACTGAACTAGTAGCAGCAGCAGGGCCAGAGAAATAGGTCTCCCTGCCTGGATCAGACTACATTCTGTCTACTGTTCCCCTCAGCAGGGCTTTCCAAACCTTAAAGACAAAGGAACCAGCCGGGCATGGTGGTGAACGCCTGTAATCCCAGTGACTCGGGGAGGCTGAATATTGGATACGGAAAATGAAAAACCCCCAAATAGCATGGCCTGGGAAAGGGAATGAAAAAGAAAGCCGTACATTGATAGCTGTCGTCTCTTTCAAGATAAATCCTTCCCAGATGCTGGCCACAGGCCGGGAGAAAGTGTTTCATCAAACCTAGAGTGATAGTCTCTAGGAAACACTAATCTCTTCCAAAATAAACCCTCTTCAGGTGCTGGCCACCACCCCCCAACCCCAAAACTCAAATTCCTGAATGCCAGACTGACATGCTCACTCAGTCACCCACAACCTCTATAAGCCCAGTCCCCGCCTTTGTTCAGTGGCTCATTTTCCACTGGGAAAGTGGGTCCATTCCCTTGGTGTAGTCTTGTTCCTGAATAAAAGGCTGAAATGATCCATGAAATTTGCACCCAGCCCCGTCTCTTTGCACTAATACTGAGGCAGGAGGATCGCAAGTTCGAGGCCAGCCTCAGCTATTTAGTGAGACCTTAAGGAACTTAATGAGAGCTTGCTGGGGGTGTGGTTCAGTGGTTTAAGGCCTTGGGTTCAATCCCCAGTACAAATAAAAAGGCCTAGGAACCACCCCACCCCCATGTTGTTAAAATGCAGATGTTGGGTCAAGAGGTCTAGGTTGGGAGTGAGGGGTGCCCAGAGATTCTGCATTCCTAAGAGCTCCAAGATGCTTTTTCTGAACCGGTTGCTTCTGAGAGCATTTCACAGGACACAGAGCAGCAAAGGCTTTAATCCAGTCCCCTGGGTTTGAGAAACCTCAGGTGGATTCTGAACACCCTTCCTGGACCTGCTGTTTTAGGTGGAGGCTGTGAGCTTCAATCCCAAAACGGGGCTTCCAGCCTTACTGGAGTGGAGGGACCCACCCACACCCTGGTCTGTTTTGGAATTACCCACCATCCATCACTCCAAGCAAAGGCAATCAGCAGCCTGCATTTCGGGAAAACATCATGATTTTAAACTGCCCTGTCCTTTCTCCAAGTTATATAACGTGTCCTTATTGAAAATGCTGATAATGCTATTTGGGTGGCAGGAAGCCAATTTCTGGCTGCATATTGTTGGTGGCTGGGGCTGGGATCGGGGAAGGGGGCAGGGTCTGGGGAAGGTTTAAGGAGAGAAAGGGGCCAGGCAGATGGAGAGGGCAGTAGGGCCAGGAGTGGCCAAGGCCTGGGGATAAAGCCGATTGGTGTGTCAGCAAAATCTGTCAGTGGCTTTGGTGATTCGAAAGGCAGACACGTTCTTTCATCTCTGTTAATCCTCATCTGATACAGAGGATTTTCCTGCCATTAAATCTGGAGAAAGAAAACTAAGCACTGAAACCCGCAGACTCCTTTTGCTTTCTGATCACCCCCGACCCCAGCCTTTCTTTCTCGGTGGGACCATCTTTTATCATCTGATTTGGGAGATGGAGGGGCTGGGGCAGCCCAGGGGCCCCTTGGAGGTGCAGGACCAGGCAGACCCCCAGGACGGTAAGCAGAATTTGGAAACTGTTCCCAGAGGCTTCTTTGCAAGGGTTTTCCTCTGCATCCATTTTCTTGCTGGGTTGTGGGTGAGACCATTTGAGTCACTGTCAGGGTCTTCGCCTGGTGAAGGGTTTCCGAATAGAACCAGGATGAACTTTTTTTGGCGGGGGTG